CATGCTCGTTGAGTTCAGGAAACAAGCTCTTTTCTGCAAGCTCTTGGTTAATAAGATGAACCATTATAGTCTTCAAGTTTCTCCTGCTGGAAATTTTTGTTTTTGAACGAGTTTCATGAATGAGGACTTGAAAAGCTCTTTCAGATGCAAATATTATTTTGGTCACACCATTAGAAGGAGAACAAGACCACCACGATTCTTCAAACTGATTAAAGATAAAGTTGTAGTAGTTTGGAAGTGTGAATAATTATGATCATGAACTGATGATGATTTTTTGACTTAAGCAAAAGAGCTCTTGCACATTCAGTACAGGTGATTCTATTGATTATCTTTTACAACAAACCCAGCAATATATCCAAGTATTGCTTCTTTGTATGATGACAGTGAACATGATTCTAATCCAGAAACTAAACTATGTGTCCTTTGGTGTCATCTCTTCTACTTCAAAGGCTGGAGCATTTCTTTTATTCCATTTTAATGAAAAATAGAACCAGCAGATTCATTTTCGAAAGTCAAACAGTTTGCATGCTTGGAACCAATGATGGAATTTCTTAAAAGAATTTTTCGTAGACTGGACTTAAATTGTACAATATCTGGATTATTGTTGAAGCCATTCTTACCACGTATGCATGCAAACAGCAGCTCAAGGTGGTCTTGGGACATTTTGTATGTCAGAATGTATTTGAAAGAATCATGTTCCTTTGTAAGGAGAATGTGAGCCAACTCTTTAATGCTCGATGCTGCTACTACAAAACCGAGAACAAATGTATTTCTTCTATGTTTGATCAGAGGAACACCAGAGTTTGTTTTAATGGAAAAAAGGTATTCAATTGACTTTTCCAAAGTTTTTTTCCATGTGTTGTGATCACATAAAAAGTGGTTTTTAAAACATTTGCCAAATGGACTTCGTATGTTTAATATGTCAAAAAGTTGATCAACAATCCTTATGAATTCTATTGTTGCACTCGCATCACTAAGAGCTGGATGACCAGAAAGCATCAGGTATTCAATGGCATCTGCAACTGAACTGCTGAATGTTTGTGCTGCAACTTTCACATTCATCTTGTGCCTATGGAACTCAATGTGCCCCGTGGACAGCTTATTTGCAAATTTTAACCCTTCTCCCTCTTGAACTTTATGCAGCACTTCAATATGCTCCCATTTGATCAAACTACCTTCACTCGAAACCAGTACTTTAAGATCGGACAATGCATTTCTTGCCAGTTTTAGCATGTGACAAGCATCAGGAACAAAAAACAGTGGGTGTTCATATGACTCATAGTTAAAAGAGTATTTAATGTCAGACAAATTTGATCCAAACTCACAACCAAGGGCTTTCATGCAATAAAAATTGGTGGCAGTACCGTCACAAGTCACACTGTAAATATTTAGCCCATCTGAAGATTCTAAGCGAAACGATTTGCTAACCAGTGCACTCAAATTTGAAGAATTTATTCCACTACATAACACGTAACCAATAGGACATTTCCAATGTCCTCGTAAATAACTAACATAAACACAAGAGCTTCAGTAGCAAAGAAAGCTGCTTGCGTTTGGGGTAAAGTTTTTCGTTTCATAGCAATGACCCATCTTTTACAGAGGTCCTTATTTTCAATGGGAAATTTGTGAAAAGCTATGTTACTCTCTTTCGAAAGCGATTTGTACATCCATACGCGGCGCACGATTTGACCATGAAAAATCGAAAATTACGCGCTTTGCAGCTAAAATGTGCTTCTTTGAACGTTGTTTTAGAGTTGAGGATGTTATACCTGTGTTTGTTTTAAGATTGATTGCTTTCAACGTTTTCAACCATATATTTGAGTCAGTTTGACATGTAAACTATACTACCGTATATTGCGTGTTATGTTTTGCCACCTTTCAAGATGGCGCCCGCGAATAAAATTTGCCTCACCGTGACAACGGCAGTTAGATATCTAGAGGATTGGGTATAAGTCATTGCCGGGATGTAATGTTTCCCGTTTTTTGCCCGGTTCCCGCGCCATCTTGGATTTATCATGAATGTCACGCTGCCGTCTTAATAAGTCTTATATTACGTCACACTCGTCAGCAATCTAGTCCTCTATTATATCTATGATGTAAATAGACCAAGTAACATGTAACTAGACACTAGTAATATTACAACCAGACATCATGCAATGGACTCTGTGCAGAAGTTGTAACATGTTCGCATTTGGCAGCTTAAATGTCTATGTCGGTACATCGTTGAGCACACAGTTGCTATATAAAGTATTCATTTCAAATTACGATCGGTTGGCAATACACATAGCTTACTGGCGGCTTTGAGAGTTGGTACCACCAAAACATCAAATACCCAGCGTGGCAAAAGACAAGTTTGTAGATGTAGATCGTCAAGGTTGGTATAGTTCTGAGAAGGACTTTTTGTTGTTGTTGACTGACGTTTCGACAAACTTAGCTGTAGTCATCTTCAGAGTCAAAATGTAGTAAGGACAAACAAGGTGAGTCGGGTAGTACTCAATGGTCGTTTGTGACATTTCATATTTATTCTTCGACATCGTAATGAGCTTATCGATGATTAAAGTAAATATAAAGCTTTATTAAAGATCCTATTTCTGACTTTCGGTCTCGAATAACGCGCGCAAGTTTCTCGCACGTAGCATGGATAAACAGCGCTGTAGCTGCCTAACCTTAACTGTAGACCAGGGGTCTCCAAACTTTACAGCCGGAGGGCCACATGAACTTTCATCCAGCATGTTGAGGGCCGAAGAATATAAAAAATTTCCACGTTATCCTTCAGCTTTTTAAATTTCGCAATGTGCTTGAAACGGAAGTAGGAAGTTGGGAGAAAAATTGACGTAAGCCACTCTTGCTAGTTGGCTTGCGACATAACGTGAACTTTCTACACAAAGTTTATTTTGTTTAATAATAATATTGATAATAATATATATTAATTTTTCTTAAGTGCCTCTGCGGGGAGTTGAGGCCCAACGGGCAATGACTTATACCCAATCCTCTAGATATCTAACTGCCGTTGTCACGGTGAGGCAAATTTTATTCGCGGGCGCCATCTTGAAAGGTGGCAAAAAACATAACACGCAATATACGGTAGTATAGTTTACATGTCAAACTGACTCAAATATATGGTTGAAAAACGTTGAAAGCAATCAATCTTAAAAACAAACACAGGTATAACATCCTCAACTCTAAAACAACGTTCAAAAGCACATTTTAGCTGCAAAGCGCGTAATTTTCGATTTTCATGGTCAAATCGTGCGCCGCGTATGGATGTACAAATCGCTTTTCGAAAGGGAGTAACATAGCTTTTCACAAATTTCCCATTGAAAATAAGGACCTCTGTAAAAGATGGGTCATTGCTATGAAACGAAAAAACTTTACCCCAAACGCAAGCAGCTTTCTTTGCTACTGAAGCTCTTGTGTTTATGTTAGTTATTTACGAGGACATTGGAAATGTCCTATTGGTTGTGTTATGTAGTGGAATAAATTCTTCAAATTTGAGTGCACTGGTTAGCAAATCGTTTCGCTTAGAATCTTCAGATGGGCTAAATATTTACAGTGTGACTTGTGACGGTACTGCCACCAATTTTATTGCATGAAAGCCCTTGGTTGTGAGTTTGGATCAAATTTGTCTGACATTAAATACTCTTTTAACTATGAGTCATATGAACACCCACTGTTTTTGTTCCTGATGCTTGTCACATGCTAAAACTGGCAAGAAATGCATTGTCCGATCTTAAAGTACTGGTTTCAGTGAAGGTAGTTTGATCAAATGGGAGCATATTGAAGTGCTGCATAAAGTTCAAGAGGAGAAGGTTAAAATTTGCAAATAAGCTGTCCACGGGGCACATTGAGTTCCATAGGCACAAGATGAATGTGAAAGTTGCAGCACAAACATTCAGCAGTTCAGTTGCAGATGCCATTGAATACCTGATGCTTTCTGGTCATCCAGCTCTTAGTGATGCGAGTGCAACAATAGAATTCATAAGGATTGTTGATCAACTTTTGACATATTAAACATACGAAGTCCATTTGGCAAATGTTTTAAAAACCACTTTTTATGTGATCACAACACATGGAAAAAAACTTTGGAAAAGTCAATTGAATACCTTTTTTCCATTAAAACAAACTCTGGTGTTCCTCTGATCAAACATAGAAGAAATACATTTGTTCTCGGTTTTGTAGTAGCAGCATCGAGCATTAAAGAGTTGGCTCACATTCTCCTTACAAAGGAACATGATTCTTTCAAATACATTCTGACATACAAAATGTCCCAAGACCACCTTGAGCTGCTGTTTGCATGCATACGTGGTAAGAATGGCTTCAACAATAATCCAGATATTGTACAATTTAAGTCCAGTCTACGAAAAATTCTTTTAAGAAATTCCATCATTGGTTCCAAGCATGCAAACTGTTTGACTTTCGAAAATGAATCTGCTGGTTCTATTTTTTCATTAAAATGGAATAAAGAAATGCTCCAGCCTTTGAAGTAGAAGAGATGACACCAAAGGACACATAGTTTAGTTTCTGGATTAGAATCATGTTCACTGTCATCATACAAAGAAGCAATACTTGGATATATTGCTGGGTTTGTTGTAAAAAAGATAATCAATAGAATCACCTGTACTGAATGTGCAAGAGCTCTTTTGCTTAAGTCAAAAAATCATCATCAGTTCATGATCATAATTATTCACACTTCAAACTACTACAACTTTATCTTTAATCAGTTTGAAGAATCGTGGTGGTCTTGTTCCCTTCTAATGGTGTGACCAAAATAATATTTGCATCTGAAAGAGCTTTTCAAGTCCTCATTCATGAAACTCGTTCAAAAACAAAAATTTCCAGCAGGAGAAACTTGAAGACTATAATGGTTCATCTTATTAACCAAGAGCTTGCAGAAAAGAGCTTGTTTCCTGAACTCAACGAGCATGATGTTGATCACGAAGCAATAACTGAAGATCTACATTCATCACAGCTTATCAAACAGATCATTGAAAATACATCAATTTACGACTTTCGACCTATGGTAAGCAATATAATAAAGATATCCTCCACAAAAACAAAATTGGTGTTCGCCAGCAATCTACGAAGCTTGTTTTATTTCAAGGAATCTAGTCGACTTCGATGAACATCCACACCACAACCAAGGAAATGTAAATCCTAAAAATAATTAATAGTGGTTTATTGTAAATAGTGAAAATAAGCGCATTTTACAACGATGCAGTCATATTGTTAATAGATCTAAAATTATGTTGTTCAGGTAAAATAATTCATATAAACCGTAAACGTTGTGTTCAAATCAAAGTTCTGGATAGCTGTTATGCGATTTTGTCGCTTTTTTTCTGTAAATATGTTTTTGGTTTACGATAAAAAGCATAGAGAACAGCAAAGAAGATGTAAATTAATAAATACTCACGATTAGTAGTTCATACTTATGTAACTCTCAGCCTTTAGTTTATGGTCGCAAAATACACGTTAAGACCGCTCTATCTCAAGTATTTAAAAATTTTACACATTTTAACAATATTAAAGAAATTACTCACCATTTTTAATGCAACTTCAGTAGAACAGCATCATAAAAACGCTCTCAAAGTCGATTTCTCTCAGCACAGACTTAATGTTTTATATGCCGCCATTGTGCTTTTGCCACCTTTGCAAATGGCGGCCGCGTAGAAATTTGCCTCACTCATTACTATACAAATTTGGCTTGAGTCAGGTATCTAGTAGAATGGGTACTAGATCATTGCCCAACGGGCCGCATCTGGCCTGCGGGCCGTAGTTTGGAACCCTGCTGTAGACAATTGTCAAGACCTTTCGCCGAATTTCACTTAATTTCTTTGCCATTACGAAGACAGTAATTTTTCGATCAAAATTCTTATATACAGACATGACTAAAGCTTTATACATATTCTGTATTTAATATTTTAACACAAATGGTAGATTGTCACCAGAATATCTTAGTACATTTTGTAAGTTAGTAACATCCCGGATTGATCAATTAAATTGATCGTCGAAATTTTATCGAAAAATTTTAATGAGATTATGGAGTAACCAAGGATAATAGCCAAAGAGCGGCGCGGATATGGGCACGAGACCCCAGCGCTTAGCACGCAGTATAAGATATACGATAATACGAGTGGAGAGCTTTTCAATAGAAAGTACGTTGCAGAATACACAGCATTGTTATTTCGGCTGTTGTTGTAGCTTTTCCACCAAATAATTAGAGTTATAAGGTGCAGACGTGTGGTAAGGCACTAAGCCTGGGTGTAGATGAGAAGCGGACCCGGACGACGGACGCGGACGGCGGACGCAAAACGCGCAAATAAAATGCTTTTAGTCCGTTGCATGTGCCTTATCGTATTAAACTTAGATTGAAGAATGAGCATGAGATATTCCTTCGGGAATTCGGCATAATTTTCTAGACAAGAGAATCTATTTTGGTGTTGTCGTATAGTTTAGGTATTAACAAAAATTATTTATTATTCTGCTGATCTCTTTTTTTTAAGTTTGACTTAAATGCAGTGCAAGCAAAAAGGTCACCTCAAAATTAAGTTTCAAGTAAATTATGTCGAAGAAGATGAACGTATAACATTAAATATACAATTTCAAACTCTTCACATATTTTGGGTTCATTGCCTATTCATTTCTGCATAATTAAGTCTTTCAAAATTTAGCTGTAAATATCATCGTACAATCATTAAAAACAGAGCTGCACGAAACTGTTTCCACTGTTTGCCTATACCTATGTCTCTTAAAAGCATCATTTAGTTTCGTTTTATTTTAGTTTGGTTTTGCCTCAGTTTATTAATTCTCCAATGCTTCTCTTTCCGTACAAACACCATACCTGGCAACCAAAGATTCTGTTACTCCGATCCGAGCTAGACAAAATTACAAGGAAGTGATGTAAGTTTAACACAGAAGTAAAGTTGTCTTCACTTTGTAATGTATAAGGAACGGTGTCTTGATTTCGACGTTTATTATAAATGCGCAATGGATAGATTGCGCCAAACTTCTTTCGATGTATCGATTACTTCTTCACTTTTTCAGAACGCATTTTCACGTAATTTTTGTCGACAATAAACCGTCAATGTAAAAGCCTTTTGTCATATCCATAATCTTGCATAATTATGTATAATACGATATTGAACGTAATCCTCATATAATCATACCCCCCATTCGAACTGTACTAAATATAAAACTTTGATATACGTAGTTTTGAGTGTTGATATGTGACACCTACACATGATAAATTTTTTGAACTCCACGGCGTGTTTACAATTTCGTATTCATAATTAGAGTTTTATGAAACAGTTTGCAGCTGCTGTTCGTTGCAACGATTTTTATCGCGCATTGTCTTTGAGTTACGAAGGGCCTTTTATATGGCATGTAGTAAAACGCGGACTGCACTGGACTAAGAAAAAGCGCACTGCATTGGACTAAGAAAACGCGGACTGGACTCACTTGGTGAAATGATGACTGGACTCGATAAGTAAAACGCTTGGACCAAAAGTGCGAAACATACAGAAATTGAATAAAATGCCATTTGTCTAAATGTAAAGTTGAATTTAAAATTTGTATTCAACTTAAGGTAACGCGGGCTCATGTGAAGGAGGTGCCATGATACCTGTATATGATTACGCCAAGAAAGAGGGTATCCCCGATGAAACGTGCAACAACTATCAAGCTAAAGACCAGGCTTGCGATAAGAAACATCAATGTAAAACTTGTACATTCGCTGGACATTGTTTTGCTTTAGCGAACTACACAAGATTTAAAGTCCAGGAATACGGTTTGTGTGATGCTTGCAATTTTTTCGATTCTTAGTCATGATCGTTTTTCACTCATTTGGTTACTAATTGTCATGGGAGCGATTTTGTCAGACATATACCGTACAGAGAACTGAGTATGAAAATCAACGTTATTTTCTTAGGTCGTGTCAGTGGTCGAAACAAAATGAAAGCGGAAATATACGAACGCGGTCCAATAGCGTGTGGCATAATGGCGACTCAGAAGTTAGACAAGTATAGGGGTGGGCTGTACTCTGAATACAATGTTGATATAGGAATCAATCACATTATTTCTGTTGCTGTGTGGGGCGTGGATACCAATGGTGTGGAATACTGGATAGTACGCAACTCCTGGGGAAGACCTTGGGGTGAGAAAGGATGGTTGAGAATTGTTACAAGCGCATACAAAAAAGGCCAGGGTAAAAAATACAATCTTGGCATCGAGACAATGCGCACCTTCGCCGTTCCAACCACTGCTGAATCATCTCCATGATTTGACACGAATGACGTCACTGCAGTTATTCTCATTATAACTGTAATGGAATAAACGCTTTAGTTTTTTTTATCATTTACGTACAACTATTGTTACTTAAAATTAACTAATTTTGAAAACAACTATAAATTTCAATCGAAGAACAGTCGTGCAATTTTTTCTTAATAAATGTTACTCAGTTCAAGATTGGTTCAAGCGGCTTACTTCTCAAACTTTAACGTTTGAATTGTTTTTCGAGACCAAAGTTTACTATGATGATCATACTATGTTTGTAGATGTAGATCGTCCAGGTTGATATAGTCCTGAGAAGTATTTAAGGACTTTTTCATATTTTTGTATCTGAAGATGACTACCACTGAGGTTGTCGAAACGTCAGTCAACAACAAAAACAGTCCTTCTCAGGACTATACCACCTGGACGATCTACATCTACAAACATCTTCAATACTTCGGGTTCAAACCATTTACTTTATTATGATCATACTATCTTGATGAATTTTTTCGCATTGGTATTATCCGTATGAAATGAACAAATAAAATTTTCTTGAATGGTTTTAGTTGTATTTTCTTCTAATAAATTTTAGGGGATCGTCCATTTTGTACATACTCAAAGTCTTGCGAATTTTAAACACCGCCTTCCTTTTGTGCACAAATGTAGAGAATTTGCTCCCATCCCACCCCACCCCCTTTGTACGCAAATATACAATATTTTGCTACCACCACTTACCCATGCCCTTTGTACGCAAATATACAATATTTTGCTACAACCCCCATGCCCTTTGTACGCAGATATACATATTTTGCTACCACCCACCTGCCCTTTGTACGCAAATGTACAATATTTTGCTACCACCCCATGCCTTTTGTGCACAAATGTACAATATTTGCTAACCCCCACCATCCCCTTTGTGCACAAATGTACAATATTTGCTAACCCACACCATCCCCTTTGTGCACAAATGTAAAATATTTGCTAACCCCCTCACCCCATCCACTTTTTACGCAAATGTACTTCGCTACTTAAAATTTTTAAAAAATCCTGTAATCTTAAACTTCGGGCGAACGCGAAAATCAACTTTTATAAAGTAAATGGTTTGAACCCGAGAGTATCGTTACATGTTTGTAAATGTAGATCGTCCAGGTTGGTATAGTCCTGAGAAGGACTGTTTTTGTTGTTGTTGACTGACGTTTCGACAACCTTAGCGGAAGTCATCTTCAGAGTCAAATGAGGAGTAAACGTCAGGTTAGCCGTATTTTTTATCTGGTTCTTACGTCAGAACGTACAAATAGTATGCTTACTTTGTGAGTGAAAACTAAATTCCAAAATCCCATTCAACTAAACAAAATGTAGTAGCCCACCTTTCTTTTGTACACAAATGTACGCATTTATCATATACTTTCTCCCTTCCCCCATTTCTTTCCATACGTACTAAATGAACGACCGCTAGTGAAAATACCTAGTTGCCCGTTTCCCTGCATTCCTGTACCCGTATTTATGCATCAAACTAAAAACGGCTTGATGATACATAATCACAATGTGTTATATTATCGTCACACACGTCACATGATGATAATTACGTTAATCAGACAGTAATTCATTTGAAGTTTCGAACCGGCGGACGTTAACTGAGCGACATCTTGTTTATAGAGTGCGTCAAAAATGTTTACCATGTATTTATGCTGGTTTTGCCTCTGTTCTCTAATCCTCCAATGCTTTTCTGCTCGTACTACAATAAAAGCAAGCAACAAACATTCGTGTTACTCGAATCCAGAGCTGGACAAAAATTTCAAGGAAGTGATGTAAGTCAAACACAAAATTATAGTTGTCTTTGCTTTATGATAAAGGGAATGATATCTTGATAATGACGTCTAATATCAACGCGCAATAGAAATAGATTGCAAAAGACTCCTTCAACTCATTCTTTTGGTGTAGGAAGGCGCGCATTTTCACAAACTTTGTACTGTTGTATGCAACAATCTGCTTCTTAAAAAATCTTGCTTCAAATTTATAATCTTGCATACTTATATAAAATTGAGCGTCCATTATAAACAAACACGGGCGTGTAGAATAATACAAATTTTTATTGCGCATTATTTGAACATTTGGGTATTGTGAAGAACAACCGCACAAGGTCAAACAAAGTATCTATTACATGGCTAGTGGTAAAACGCAGACTGAACCCAAATAGTAAGACGAACTCGCGAAAAAGATTTTTGCTTGTTCAAGTCGGTGAATGTTTGTCGAGCTTGACTTCTATGTGTCGTGGCAGGAAATAATCGGATGCATTGCTTCACCATTTTATATGAAACATGATAAATTATCATACTATATTATTAACTGACAACGACGATGTTTTCTTTACATTAAGTAAAAGTCCTCGACCTCACGAATATCTGAAGCTTGAAGATCTTCCAGTTTCATGGGATTGGAGAAACGCGAATGGTGTGAATTATGCCAGCGCTACACGAAACCAACACATTCCGCAATACTGCGGTTCGTGCTGGGCCATGGGAACGACCAGTGCATTATCTGACCGTATAAATATTCAGAGAAAGGGAAAATGGCCAGTGAATTATCTTTCTGTTCAAAACGTCATTGACTGTGGTAAGGACTTTGATTTGTCTTAGAGAAAAATTCATCTCATCAGCTTTAGGTAAGGGCTACAGTAGAATTGCTGTTGAATAATACTCAATAATAGCTCCAGTTGAGAAACGAAAAATTATGCAAGTTTCTGCGGGCTAAACTTGAGCAACCTGGGTCCCTACAGCATATGTGATTGCAAATTTCACTTTCAAATTTTAATTCAACTCGCAACAGGTAACGCAGGCTCATGTGAAGGTGGTAACATGATACCTGTATATGAATACGCCAAGAAAGAGGGTATCCCTGATGAAACGTGCAACAACTATCAAGCAAAGACCAGGATTGCGATAAGGAACATCAATGTAAAACTTGTACATTCGCTGGACATTGTTTTGCTGTTCAAAACTACACAAGATTCAAAGTCAAAGAATACGGTTTGTGTGATGTTTGTAATCTTCTCCATTCTTCTTCTTGCAAAGTTATTCAGAATCTTCTTTTCCCATGGTTATTAAATGTCCAAGAAGGATTTCTATTAAGTGGTTCTAGATCAAAAGTTTATACCATACAAAGAACCGAGTGAAGAACTGAGTTTAAATATCAACGTTTTTCGTCCTTAGGCCGTGTCAGTGGTAAAGACAAAATGAAAGCAGAAATATACGAGCGCGGTCCAATAGCTTGTGGCATAATGGCGACTCATAAGATAGAGCAATATCACGGCGGGGTTTATTCGAAGTACAGTGACGATATCGAAATCAACCACACCATTTCTGTTGCCGGGTGGGGCGTGGATACCAATGGTGTCGAATATTGGATAGTGCGCAACCCTGGGAAGACCGTGGGGTGAAAGGGTGGTTGAGAATTGTTACAAGCGCGTACAAAGAAGGCCAAGGTAACAAATACAATCTTGGCATCGAGACGATGTGCGTCTTTGCCGTTCCGGAGGTCACTGATGAATTATCTGCATGATTTTAACCGAAGTAAATGAGTGTAATTATTCTAATTAAAAACTGTCTTTAAAAAAAACAAAATATAACATTCAATCTGAAGTAAAGTCGTGCAATTTTTTGTTTATTGAATGTTTCTCAAGTGGCTTACTACTCACACTATAGCATTAAAATCACATAAATGCCCCGTTTTTAGCATCTACTGACTTTGCAGTATTGCAATGTGATGAATAGGAAGATTAGCACGAGACCTAAACACAAGTCTGCCCTCATAAAGTCGATATTTCTGACCCGAATATCAGTAAACGCCCCAGTTTACGAAGAAAACCAGACATATCGAGAACGTTTGAGAAGTGTGCATGAAAATTAATATACACACCGTTGCCACGAATGTCAGAGAGACATGAATGAGAGCAGCGAAAATGACGTTGGAAGCGCAAATATGCATACTTTCTTTGGTTGTACGAGGACGAACGCTTGTATTGTAAAACCCTAGCACTCACGGTAATTGAGTGGAGCATCAAAATCATTGCAAATTGCTTTTCCAAAGCGGTATTTTCTCTCCACTGATTGCTTAGCCGGATTAGAAACATTTTATCAAAAATCCTGCCATCCGATGGATTAGTGGGAGCGCAATTTCTGTGTCACTATCAGTGAGTGTGAATGTGAGTAAGGATTGTGTGTCAGTGTAAATACATATTCCTTATTTAACATTTTAACACCATGTGTTCAGCTTGAAGTGGTAAATTCTTCCCAATCCCTACACTATTATCTTGATGTATCTTGTACTTCGTACATTGGTGTATCTCATTATATAAGGAATAGACAGTCAGACCACGTCGTTCTAAAATTCGCTGATTATTGTATGCTTAGCCATCTCAGCGTTCTTATTGGTCAGAAACTACAATTGAGCGGCTGTCATAATATGGTAATCACATGCGTATAATAAAATATGCGTGACACAAGAAGTTGTTTCTTTACTTTGTTCCCTGTGCCGTGGTGTTATCCCCGATTGAAATTTGTAAATGAAATCATAGTAATTTGACTTGTATTCACTGTTTGTAAATGTAGTTAATACTAGTCCCTGTGTGTTACGCCAAACCAAAAACGGATTGACATCACTCTCTTATGCAATGTTAGCACGGTTATCACATGATGGTAATTCGTTTCATACATAGTCCACAGTTCATCTCTACTTGTGAGAAACATCTTAAAGTACCTTTGAAAAATAAAATGCATACCTTGTACTTATGTTGGTTTTGCCTCAGTTTATTAATTCTCCAATGCTTCTCTGTCCGTACAAACACAATACCTGGCCGCCGAAGATTCTGTTACCCGATCCAGAGCTAGACAAAATTACAAGGAAGTGATGTAAGTTTAACAAAGAAGTAAAGTTGTCTTCGCTTTGTAATGTATAAGAAACGGTGTCTTCATTTCACCGTTTATTATACATGAATTTCTAATACTTGTAGATAGATCGAGTGGGACTCTTAAGTCTTTTAATAATGATTCTTCCGATGTAATTTATTGCTCTTTCATTTTTTGAGCTCAAGGACGAGCGATGTAATTTATCGCTCTTTTTTAAAGCACAGTGACCTCATTCGTCACGAGGC